TCAGGGAGGTGCAAAGTTAGCCACTGCCTCAGGCCACCTAGCAGGAGCTACAGAGTGATCTGAAGATTGCTGCTACTTGTGTTGGGGTTGGAAGTGCCCAGCTGTAAAGCAAGGCATGCTGCTGCAAGAGCCAGTCCTTTGGACTCTTATTGATAGGTATGGGGCAGCTGATGCTTGTTTGAGAGATTTTAGGAAAGCCTGAAATCTGAGGCAGGACAGGCCATTCAAATGGAAAAGCCACTGCAAACAGCTTGGGTTGGGCTACAAATTGGATGGGGTAGGGTCTCAGGGAATCACCAAGGTGGAGTGAACAGTGTGAGCCAGGCTGATGGAAACTCAGATATGGCTTCCAGTTAGCTCTGTGAAGGTGGAGGTCCAGCACAGGAACAATGGCCCCTGTGAGCACCCCTGTCTGGGAGAAAGCCACTCTCGAATTTCTTGCCCTGATGGCAGACAATCCAGTTCCTCCCCATATGTACCTGGATCCCCCAAAGTTACTGCCCCAGTGCTTTAGCTCAGAGGGAGCTAGTCTGTGTAAGTGCATGCCCCTGCCCTTTAAGAGGAACTTCTGGGACTCCAGCAGCCTGTGACACTCAGCCACAATTGCCACTGGTTTTTACAGCCTGAAGTTATGGGGACTTCTCCTCCCAGTACTGGCAGCCTGTGCTGAGTGGTCTGGTGTGGGGCTGGGACCCCTTGCTCCTCATGGGAGGCCTCTACAGGTGGGTGTCTGGACCAGCCCATTCTGTGCCTCCTACCAGTGTTGATGTGATTTCTTCTTTACTTCTCTAGTTGTAGGACTTCCATTCAGCCAGATCTCAGGTGGTTTTGCATGATGGCTATTATGTATTTTAATTATAATTTTGATGTGGTTATGGGAGGGAGTGAGTACCTTGTTTATCTAAACTGCCATCTTGGTTCTCTCTTCCTATTTTTTTAAAAATTTTTAATTGAATTAATGGAGTGACATCCTATATAATAAAAGCATAATATACTAAGTGTCCAGTTGTCCATTCAACCAATCAAAGTGTGATATGCTAAGGCCACTCAACTGCTTGCTATGATGTGCACTGACCACCAGGGGGCAGACGCTTTGACCTGTAGGTTAGCTTGCTGTTGGGGTCCAGCCGATTGGGACTGAGTGAGATGGGCCGGACATGCCCTGGACCCCTCCCGCGGCCCCTCCCTGACTGACCAACATCCCACGTTCCTCCCTGGCCCCAATCATGCACCAGTGGGGTCCCTCATCCTGGCCTGGCCCTCTCACAATCCAGGACCCTTCAGGGGATGTCAGAGAGCCGGTTCCAGGCCCATCCTGCAGGCCAGGTGAGGGACCCCACTGGTGCACGAATTTGTGCACTGGGCCTCTAGTTGATTAATAAAATTATATAGGTGTATAATTCTTTATAATACATCATCTGTACATTGTATTTTATACTTGCTACCCCAAGTGAAGTCTCTTTCCATCATCATTTATCCCCCTTCACCTTCTTATACCTTCCCCACCCGCTTCCCCTCTGGTAATCACCATACTGTTGTCTGTGTCTATGAGTTTTTTGTTTTGTTTTGTTTTTTAATCCTCATTTGAGGATATTTTTTCTATTGATTTTTAGAGAGAGTGGAAGGAAGGGTGAGAGACAGAGAGAGAGAGAAGCATTGATGTGAGAGAGAGACATCAATTGTTTGCCTCTCACATGTGCCCAGACTGGGACCAAGATGGAGCATTTAGCCCAAGTACATGCCCTTGACTGGAATTGAACCTGCAACCCTTCAGTCCATGGGCTGATGCTCCAACTGCTGAGCCAAAGTGGGCAAGTTTTTTTTCTTAATCCCTTCACCTTTGCACCCAGCCCTCCAACACCCCTCCCCTCTGAGAGATTTCAATCTGTTCTCTTTAGCACCACTGAATTATTTTAAAATTATGTAAAAAGTCTAAAACCTATGAATTGGGACTCATGATTAATAAGGAATAAAACAATTTAGTAGGATTATTATTTATCTTAGATATATTAATAGAAATCAGTATAATAATGACTATTTGGGATGGAAAGGAAAAAGCCAAGTAGAAATTTAAACTAACTGGGATGGGGTGAAGGCAATGAAGAAGATATTGTGCAAGTCAGCAAACCTGAAATGGGGGCAAATGGATAAACTATTACAAAGAGAAATATATGCTAAATAGAAAATAAGATGGTAGGAATAAAACATTATGCCCATTGTCATAATAATGTACATAGGCTGAGTTTCATTATCAAAAGGCAGTCATTGCCAGATTTTGTTTAAAAATGTCCATCTGTAAGTTAACTGTGAAAATATACATTAAAACAAAGGAACTAAGATAGTAAAGATGAGGAGATGAGAAAAGATACACTGGAGAGATTCAAAGCATGAGGAGGAGATATGATAATATGAGTATCAAATAAAGTAGAATTCAGGGCCCAAAACTGTTTTGGGGGACTAGGGCTAACAAAGCAGTTGGGATCTTAGGAGTGAAGATTCTGGAGTGAAGGAAAGAGTGAAATAGTACAGTAATAGTGTGAGCTGCCTTTCCTTCAAGGTATTTACTACTTTGTTACAGGGACAAACTGAGAGGATGAGTAGCTCAAGATTTAGCAGCAACTTACAGTGTTGAAGAGACAAACTTGGAGTTCAGAGCTCTTCAAAATGGAGAACATTGAGGTTTTCATCTGAGGTCATGAAGAGAATATACCCTAGGTATAAGGGTAAACTGCAAACAGACCAATGTTTACAAAACCCAGCCTAAAAGAAACTCAGTCCCTGACTAAATTGAGGGTACCAATTCTAACTACCTGCTAAAGCTAAAGGACTACTCTCTCAAGAAAGAGAACATCAAAAGAGTATCCACAATTTTTTTTACAAAGTGTTCAATACTCAATTAAAAAAAAATTATCAGGCATACTAACTGACAGAACCAAGAGGAAAATGACCCTAGAGAATAGCAATCTTCAGGTTACTCAGATATCCAAATAACAGTGATTAATATTTAAGAAAATAGATGAAAACATAAAGAATTATTCCAGAGAACTGGAATAAAAGGCTAATATGCAAATAGACCAATCAGCAGAACGGTCTATTTGCATATTAGCCTTTTATTATATAGGAATGACCAGTCGCTATGACATGCACTGACCACCAGGGGGCAGACGCTCAATGCAGGAGCTGCCCCCTGGTGGTCAGTGCACTCCCACATGGGGAGCACTGCTCAGCCAAAAGCCCTGAGCCGGTCTCACGGCTGGTGAGTGCAGCAGCAGTGGCGGGAGCCTCTCCTGCCTCCGTGGCAGCACTAAGGATGTCCGACTGATGGCTTAGGCCATCAGTCAGACATCCCCTGAGGGCTCCTGGACTGCGAGAGGGTGCAGGCGGGGCTGAGGGATCCCCCCTCCCCGAGTGCACAACTGTTGTGCACTGGGCCTATAGTCTATAAAAATAACTGGGAATTCTAAAACTAATTGCAACTTCCTCTTTGATGGTCTGTCTCAGTGGTCCTCAACCCTGGCTGTACCTTAGAATCACCAGGTTCTACTATGGACCCATTATGCTCCCCAGGGGTTCTTATGTGCAGCTAGGATTGAGTACCACTCCTACTAGAATGAGTCCAAGATTGCACAGGCCCAGAAACCACAAAAAGTTTTTGGCAGCAAAAACTAGTTCCTCAGTAAGGAGAGACATTCATCAGTAAAAGCAGGGCTTGGTGCTGGAAGTTTAGCCCTGCTGCTCCTTGCAAGCCACAAAACCACTCTCCATTTAGCTTCCCTAATCTATAAAAAATGTACAGCAAAATCTTTGATTTTGTCTCCTTCAGATCATAATGTGAAGTTTAAAATGGAAAAGAGATAAGACTTTTTCAAATTTTGAAAATCATACCAATGTAATTTGTGAGTATTCTTATCATAATAATAAAAAAAACCTTTGCCCTGTTAAGGTAGGCCTTGCACAAGTCATTTCATTTTTTGCACTCCAATTTTCTCACCTATAGAGTGGAGCTCCTACTCTGCAGATTATACCTTAAGTAGTAAGGCAAACAACAGGAACTGAAACACAAGGTATTATATTATTTGCTTATTATACATTTGCATTTTTTATTATAAGGCGGTGGATAGACTCATGCTAGTCCTTGATGTCAAGCCTGCCACCATATGCCATGTCTCTCATGTTAGTAGATACTGACACCCAGGTGGCATAGCAGGTATGGCATTTCTGCCTGCAAAGCTTTGTGACTTCAAAACAAATCCCGGGGAATTTTTGGTTACTGACTAATCCTGTTGCGGTGACAAGTGCAATTGGCTTAGCTGCCTGGGAGCTGCCCCTTTAGCCTCCATTACCTGAGCTTTCAAGATTGTTAGGTGTGTGACCGATCAATGCTGGCTATAGGTGAATGTGTGTAATCAACCTCAGTGAAGCAGGTTGAAATCCTCTGGTGTGAGGTGTCATAAAAGGAGGAAGGTGTTGCAAAGGCGCTGGGCAGGCTAAAATGCCTGCCCCATGAGCAAGTTCTGCCACCTTCTTTTGTTCTCACCTTCTCCCTCTGAGTTCAGTACCAGGCACCTTTCCTAGCTCCCCCTCCGAAGTTGTGTATTCTCCAGTTTGGAGCTCTGTATTCTTATACTGACCACAAGTCCAGTGATTATAAATGTTGAAGTCTCTGGGAAACTCAAGAGTTACCATAGTGAATTTGGAAGCATGAGATGGGGAATATGTTTTGGAAGGTGGCTAGTCACAGTTATTCCTAATTTGGACTCTATTGGTATATACATTCTTACCTGTGCAAAGCAATATAAAATTTATGTTGTCAACCAGTGATGTGAATGGGTTTTTTCTTTCCTATAGCAAATCTGATCATTACTATGTTGCATCACACCTTGCAACAAACAAAATAATAGATTCATGATGTTTTGTTTCATTGCAACAAAACAGAACACTTGTCCTTGGAATGTATGAACTGTCATTTCAAATGAGACTGAAACATTGTTCCTACTTACCTACTGATATAGTCCAAACAGCAATTATTTTCAGAAATGCCTTCGTTCTGGAATTGAAGCGGCTATGATGGATGGGGTTCTGGATGGCGACGTAGCGGTCCAGCGAGATGGCACAGAGGTGCATGATGGAGGCCGTGGAGAAGAGCACATCCAGGTAAATCCATATTGCACAGAGCTTGCTAGGCAGAGGCCACTGGTAACCTAGGATGCAGAAGCTTAGTGTCAGTAAGCGGCCTTATGCTGCCTCTGGCTTGTGGATTCTCTCCTACTGCAACAGTTTCCATCCTGGGGAAAGGCACAAGAGGCAGCAAAGGGCAATATAAGATATTTTCAATATTTCAAAAAAGCCTAACAACAACTGTGGTTAACTACAATACAATTTCACTGGCTGATGAACACAGGTTTGAACATTTCTTTTGGCTGGAACTGTCAGGTTGTTGGGGTAAACAGGTTCTCTTTAGTGTTTCTTTCACTCTGCTCTGCCTAACAAAACATATCTTTTTGGTTTGTTTTCAAATTACTTAGGTCCTGAGTTATGACATATTTTGGGCTCCTCTACGAAGCACCTCACAGTATACAGTCCTTACTTATTCACACATCTTTCACACATTTCCTATTCCCTGTGGCTAGGCCCATCCCTTCGTCATTATTATAATTGCTCAGTCTTACCCCGTGATGGCATTTAGTAGTCCCTCAATAAATGCTATTGGCGTGAAGGAATAAATGACTAAAAATCCAGAATGAGAATAAGTCTTTACTTTTAAAAATGAAACATAATTACCTAATAATGCTTTAGGGTTTAAACTCAAATTTGGGGTTTATAGAGGTGAGGATGAAGACAATGGTGAAGAAAAGCATGGTGTTTCTGTCCTGAGAATTGTTTCAGGGGTGCTGATGCTGCTGGTCCAGGGACCCCACTTTGCCAACCAATGTTTAGGGCAGTGGTTCTCATTCCTGGCAGTACATTAGAGTCAGCTGGAGAACTTTAGAGAAGTCCTGATGTCTAGGAGGGTGGGTCCCAAACACTGTTCTAAAGCTCTCCAGACGATTCCACTGGGAGGACCCCTGAAGGAAGTCACCAGCTGTATTAGAGAGATAGGATATGCTTTATGGACATAAGCAAAGTGTCCTATATTTTTAAAGAAATTTTTTGAGGGGGACCAAATGGTTATATAAACCTAATTAATTTTGATAACAGTATAAGCAATGGTGTTAGATCTGTGTGCATGTGAGAAGGAAAATTATAAAGACCACCTTTTCTTTACAATATTCCAGACCCACAAAGCTGAACAAACTCTCCATTTCAAACATACTCTCTCTACCAAAATGCCACCACAGGTATTCAGAAAAGGATATAAGCCTAATTTAGTGCCTTTCACACGGATTATTTGCAAAGAGTTTCAGCAAAGACTAGAGCCTTTTCCTTAGCAGTGCCTGGGGGAAGGCATGCTCCGCCTGGTCGGAACTGATGTTGGCTCTTAAAGAAGTGTTCTCTGCTAGGAGGCAGCCCCAGCCTTAGGCCGGGTTTCCGCAGTAGGGATAAGGAGGGGGCATTTCCTCCCCCTGCGGAGTTCCTGAGGACAGACCAGGGAGGAGCTCAACTCGGGGCGGGAAATGGCTACACGCTGAGCGGCTGTCGCTAGGGGGCGCACTTGCAACCCAGAGCCTGAGACGCCCAGCAGGTCCCAGCTTCCTAAGGTGGCTGGCTGGTGCCTCCTCTCCCCCCTCAACCCCCCCACCCCTCCTCGGGGTCATTCTCACCCTGCCTCTGCGGTGGTTTTGGTTCCCGGACTGGTCGGCCCTGTGGATAGTCACCCATTACTGGAGTTTGCCTTTGAGCAGGGTGGGGTTTTAGGAAGCGAGGGCCTCTCCAGTATATCTGGGAAATGACAGGCGAATTTAATGAAATGATCTGGTGGTGACATTCGAGTGGTCAAGTAGGCTGTTTTGTAATGAGCATTACCCACCATGTGCAAACCTGAGCCTGCTCTCCTTTGCTCACCTCCCTCCTTCCCACTCCTCAGGACTGGACTGATATATTTTAGCCCTAAGACTTGGCCAGAAAATACCCTCTTAAAGACAGCACTCAACTTGTTTCTAGCTCTGGATGACTGCTGATGTGCCTGTGTCAGCAGTCTTAATTCATTCTCTCTCTCTCTCTCTCTCTCTCTCTCTCTCTCTTCAAAATCTGGCTGCATTATTTACAATTTGGAAAGAACATCACATTCTACCCCCAGCTAAAGCCGCCCCAGTGTTTGCTGACTTGCTGAGAGGTTTGACTCTTTCAAACTCTGTTGAGAAGAAAGCAAGATTAACCTCTTTCCATTTGTTTTCCACCCTCCTCCACACAAGACTGGAGGAGTTTCTGCATATGCATTTTTAAAGACACCCTTCCAAATTAGCTTCCCTGGGCAGGGAACAATGAAAATTGGAGTAATTCATTTATTCTAATGGAGACTCTGCATATTTTAACATTAAACCCCACTGCACCACTAATGTTCTCTCTGCAAATGTTCCTAGGTAATTGGGAAGGTTTTACCACTCCATTAGAGGTGCTGAAAACTATGACAAAGATAGAACTGTCCTGTTTTAAAGGCTGGGATATTTGGGAATATAAAGGAGTGAAAATCAAGTAGATTCAGAATGACAGGTAAGTTATTGCTTTATGACTGTACTGGGGCATTTATAATAATTTCTACATAAAATGTATGAGTTTCAAAGCACAGAACTCTTTAAGGATCACAGATAATAGATTGTCTGATTTTTAAAAATATGTAAACCCCATTTAAGAGTAAAGTTTAAGTAACTTGTTTATTAACAAAGCCTCGTGTTTATTTTGTCCCTTGAGTCCTGGCTCATCTGCTAATGACATGCACATGCTCTTTATTACTAGTGTGGGTACAACTGGGAAACCAACGCCACTCACCATAGAGGATGGTTAACATGGACACGGGCATGACAAGGAAACCCAGCAGCATATCAGCTATGGCAAGTGACATCAGGAAATAGTTGGTGGCATTCTGCAGCTTTTTCTCTAGGGACACTGCCATGATGACGAGTATGTTTCCAGCAATAGTTAGAATAATCACTACAGCTGTCAACAAAGCAGACCAGTTTTTTTCCTGGAGATGAAGTAAGGAGAAGCATGGTGGTGAGAGACAGCCCTCACAGGAAAGGTTGGTTCGATTTTCTGAGTCCACTGTCCAATTAAATGCATCTGAAGTGTTAGCTTCTCCAGAGTTAAAGTCATTATTGTAGAGCCTTGTGCCATCATTTCGTTGCATTAAGGAGTTTGTACTTGAGCTCAAAGAAGTGTTTTCTTCACAAAGAACATCCATTTCTAAGCTGGAACTTGTAGTAGATGAAGTGTAGAAAAATTAACAAGTTATATATTCTGCTCACCATCCATTTTTGTGTCCCCACACTCTGTCACACTGATGCTGGTGTACATTCTGGGCTCCTTGGTTGGCTTTTTTCCTGCCATTATTGCAACAGTAGTTAAAGAACGGCAGTAGCTCTTTCTTTATATTCCCTTCCTTCACAATTTTAGTAGAGTCCTCTGTTTGGTTTCATTTTTTTCCTCCAAAGCAAGGTCAAAAAGGCAGAATGAACTTTAAACATAGAGGTTGCAGAGTTTTGAGCATTCGGGGGAAAAAATGTGGTCCTGGCCAAAAAAGAAAAGTTTTGTAACTACCAGGAATCTCGCTGATCTCTCTCTCATTCTGTTGGTTATGTTCATCACACTAGGTTAGCCACAGCAGTGTTAAAACAGCATGCAAGCCAAAACAGCAGGTTGCATGCCTTCTACGTTCAGAAAGTCAATTAAAAAAAACATCTAGTGTTAATCCCATAGTAATTGAATGTGCTTTGGATTATAGTTTTCATTCAGTCTTAGGCTGAATTGCCAAAGCTGCTTTCGGAAATTTAGCTTATATTATGCTTAGTTAATAAAAGAAAAAAAAAAGTCTTAAGCAAAGATTAACAACTTTCCACATTAGAAATTCTCATTGTGAGATGATTACATTTTAGCTAAGCATAATTTCATGCCCAAAAGAAAATTACACAGCAATAGCATATAGTATGAGAATATGAGAACTTACATTTGTCTTCAGAGTCCACACATTAGACACACTGCTGTTCTGCATCTCTCATAATCATCACACTGGTAGAGAGTCCCTTGAGCTTCCACCAGCATAATATGATAGTAATTTGATTTCTGTTTTGCCGATTTAAAAAACTGCATCTAAGGGTCGAGCCAGTTCCAGCACTGCGAGGTCCCTGTTGGCTTCCTCTGTCCTCGCTTGGCAGGGTCACTCCCTCCCCAGGCAGCTTGCCTCAGCGAGGCACACATTTAGAAATCATTCACAAGCCCCTCTCGAAGTCACACAAAAGAAATCCACAGCAAAGTAGGAAGAGCTGCCTGCACTGAGGGACACGTGGTTTCCACGGGAATGGACTAGCTAGCTCTCTGGCTGTCTCCTCCATGTCGTCAGACCTCCCTCTGTCTGTGTGTCATAAACTGCAAGGTAGCAGCAGCCAGGAGGGCGGACCAAACAGGCTGTTTTTCTCTTTGCGCTATATGTTAACATTGGGAAGTTTTCCTTTGCTTTAAAAAGAGAGAAACTGAAGAAATGGCCTTTTGTACAGATTGCTCAGGCAGGTAAGCTGCACTGGGATATTTATTAGGGTGTCAGGGTGAGGAGAAAACATAAATAAGGCTAGAAAATGGTGTATTCTGGGAAAGTGTTCCCTGTAAGCAAGGCACTTCCATTCAAAGCCTACAGTGCCCGTGCCTGAAGTGAATTACTCACACTGGTGACTTGAGCTCCGAGTAGTCAAGCAGATCTTGGCAGATAACTCGGAAACTGTTAGTACTATTTTAATTTATTATTAAATACATATACCATTTAACTAGATTAATTTTACACCTAGAAATATACCACCTAGAAATAACTCAAAGCTTGAAAGAGAATAATTTGCTTGTTCAGAAATAACACTAAAGACAGCCGTTTTAATTGGTTTTTAAGTAAGGTAGATATATGTATGCATGGATGAGTATACACACACAGGCACACACACAGACACACAAACACACACACACACATACAAGAGCATATTAAAGATTGTGAAGAAATTTGTTTATATTTATCTTTCCCACTCTCCTGCCTTCCACAGAACACTCATTGAAGGACACTTTTGTTTGTTTAATGAATATAAAATTTAACTCAATTTAAAATGTAAATATTGTAAGTATTGAGTTTGAATTTTGAAAAATATACACTTGTAAAACCATTACCCAAACCATTCCCTCAAGCCCCCTTTTGATCTTCACTTAAATGGAAACATGTAGTATAAGCTCCTTTTGTGTCTGGCTACTTTTGTTCAGCAGCATTCATTATGCTGAGATTCATTCTGTCGCTGTGAGTAACTGGTTTTTTAATGAATTGTAGTCTGAGAAACTATTAAGTGACCTGGATTTTTGGAAAATCAATCATTTATTTATTTTTTTATTGTTCAAAAAACATAGACTGGATCCTTGTTTTGTCTGTCCTTTTTTGGCTTCTTAACTTTTCTTTTTTAAAAATATACTTTTATTGTTTCAGAGAGGAAAGGAAAGGTAGAAAGAGAAAGAAGCATCAATGATGAGAGAGAATCATTGATCAGCTGCCTCCTGCATGCCCCCTACTGGGGATCGAGCCCGCAATCCAGGCATGTACCCTGCCTGGACTCAAACTGAGATCTCCTGGTTCATAGGTCGATGCTCAACCACTGAGCCACACCAGCTGGGCAACTTTTCTTTTTTTAATTATCAAATCTATTGGGGTGGCATTCGTTAATAATTCAGATTTCAGATGTGGGTTTCTATGTTACAAGATCTGTGTATTGCACTGTGTGCCCACCACCCAAAGTCAAACCTTAACTTTTTAAGACAGAGCAAACCTTAATGTTCACTTAATTGATTGGTTTTGCTCTGAATTGGCAGCATCAAATTCTTTTACTCCATGTTCTTTCTTAAAAATATGTCCCTGAGCTTTCTGCTACCCAAATCTTACTGATGGTTTGAGAATGAGAACAGATTTTCACAGAAAATTTTCTGAATGATATGTAATCCATCACTTTCTTTGGATGCTCCAATTCTCAGGTCTGGAACAACCCACTGACCTTGGAAAACAATGTCTTGAATTGCCTTCTGTTATGCCATTGGCTGTCAAAAGAAACAGCTCCTTGAAATTAGCTAATGATTCTTATCTGCCATTCAATTTTCTCACACTTGTGTTTCATGTAACAATACTCATAAATTTAACGATAAGTATTGAATGCTGTGTCAAGGACTATTTATTTATTTATTTATTTATTAAAATTTATCTTTATTGTTGAAAGTATTACAGATATTCCCTTTCTCCCCTTCACCGCACTATTGACTGTGTTCATGGATTATGCATATATGGGTATAAATTCTTTGATTAATCTCTTTTAATTACTAACTATGAAGATAGACAAGGTTCCTGCCTTAAATAAGTTACTTAAAAATGGTGGTAATAAACATGAGTATTAGGGAAGAGGTATAAACTTAGTAGTCAATGGCATGTTAATGGTATTTAGAGATAGAGAAGGGAAGAGTTCTGAGGCATGAGCCCGGGGTTACTCCAGTATTTTGAGGTCAGGAAGGTGTGGAGGAATCAGTCAAACAGACTGAGAAGGAGCACCCAGTGGGTACAGAGGGAAGCAAACAGTGGTATTCCAGAAGTCAGGTGAAGAAAGACTTCAAAAGGGGGAGACTGCTAAACTAGGTCAAATGTTCCTGATTGAAGAAAAAGCCCAACTAAATGAGAAATAAAAAAAAAGGAAAGAGAGACAGAAGTGAAAATGAGTATAGGCAGTATAGATTACTTTAAGGATTTTTTTGGGGGAATAACACAGTAGAAAAATGAAGTAATCATTGAAAGATGATAATAGGCAAAGAGGTGTTTTGTGTGTTTTTTTTAATAAGATAAACTATAACATGCTTTTGTGATAATGGGAATGATCCAGTAGAAAGAGGAAAATTGACAATATAATAAAGGCAGGAATGAAAATAAAGAAATTGGTTAATAGATATTACAATTGCTCAAATAAGAGGTGGTGAGAGATCAGACAAGGGCTATGATAGTGGAAATGGAGAGAAGTTCACAGATGTATTTTAGAAATAAAAGTATCAAGACTTGCTGATTTATTGGGAGTGGGGTAATAGGAGTAGAAGGTTGGTTGGTGAGGGAATAAAGAAAGGAATCTAAGATCAAGAATCACCTTTAGGTTTTTGGATTGAACAACTAGGCAGATCATAATGTAATTCATAGAAATGGAGGAAAACAGAACAGTTGGGTCTTAGGGAGCAAAATCAATAATTCTGTCATGGATATTCTAATTTTACTATTTTAGTTAGAATTAAGTTTAGCTGAATGCATCAACAATTCCACGATAACAGAGTATTAAACAACAGAGAACATTTTTCCTTTCTCAATGAAGTCTGCAGGTCCAGAGCTGACATGAGACTTTCATGATCATCAGGAACTTAGGCTCTTTCTATCTAGTTACTCTGCTATCCTTATTGTGAAACTTTGTGGTGTTAGATGGATGCTTGACCTGAAGATATCTTGTTCACATCCCAGCCAGCATAAAGGAGAAAGATGAAGTTTCCCCCAGTTCCCTCCAGTGTCACACATGACAGTTTTGCATATTCCTGTGGGCCAAACTTGGATACATGGTCACTCAAGCTGCAAGGGGAGGGGAAGAAACTTTATTCCATCTGCCTGTGCATTTAGATGTAGATCAGGGATTCTATTACTAAGTAAGAAAGGGAGAATGGGAATTGGGAGGCAATTAGGAGACTCTCACATAGACATCCAAGAGAAATTATATAAAGGCAGTTCGATCAGGAGCTACAGAATCAGTTACAGCAAGGGGTATACATTTTGGAGTCATCAACCTTTATAGATAGTATTTAAAATTGTGTGCTTTAGTTTTCTGGTCCTGTCATAAGAAGTTACTATAAACTTAGTGGCTTAAAACAACAAATATTTATTATCTTACAGATTTGTTTCTTATAAATCTGACATAGGCCAAGATCAAAGTGTTGGCAAGGCTATGTTCCTGTTGGAGAAGCTTAGACCTAATTTTCTTTCTGTTTCTAAACATCAACTGTATTCCTTAGCCTGTGGCCCCTTCCTTCATCTGCAAAGTCATAAACTATAAGTTGAGTTCTTCTCATACTGCCATCTGTCTGTGAGAAAGGTTCTCAACTTTTAAGAACTTATGTGATTATATTGGGCTCACTTAGAAAATCCAGGCTGATCTCCATCTCAGGTCCTTAATCTTAGTCACATCTGTAATGTCTTGCTTATCATTTAAGGTAACATATTTACAGGTTTAAGACATGGGCATCTTGGGGGGTCATTAGTCTACCAATTCATAGTACTTTAAAAAGCAAAGGGTATAATAGAGGAGAACAGAGGACCTGGGCCTAGTATGTCAACATTTATATTTTAAATTTAAAAGGTTTGAAATAGGTGAGACACTGGTAAAAAATTCCTTTGAGAAGTGGTCAGACAACTTTTATTTGAGAGTCTGATTTCATAAAATCCAACAGAGAAAAGTATTTCAAGAAAGAGGCTAACTGAGAATTTCACTAATTATGAAATGTCTATTAAAATGAAGGTACAGAAAAGTCTATTGGATTTGGTAACTTGGATTTGTTGGTTACCTTGACTAGAGCAGTTTCACTGAAAGTGTTAACATGTATAAGAGCAACATGATGGCGGTAGGGGAAAAGTTCTGATAATGTAAGGTGGAAGAATATGAATTATAGTGTACCTAAGTGATAAGTGCTATTGAGAACAATAAAGCATGGAAAGGGGGTAGGGATGGGAGTGGATTTGTAAGATTAGATAGTCAGGAAAGACTTCATGGGAAGGTAGTATTTGATCAATGGTTTGAGGTAGGAGAAGTAATGATCCATGTAAATATATGGGGGTGGGGAAATACTGTTCTAGACAGAGAAGATTGTGAGTTTTCTCTATAATGCAAAGGCCTTGAGGTAGGGGTATGAGTGGGGTATTTGAGAAACAACAAGGAGGTCAGTGTGGCTGGAGCAGCATGATTAAGATTGGGGAAACCAGACTGTGGATGGCCTTACATAGACCATAGGAAGGATTTGGCATTTACTCTAAGTCAAATGGGAAGCCATTTCATGATTTGGATAGAAGTGTGCCATGCTTTGATATATATTAAATAGATCATGCTGGCTGTTTTATTGAGAACAGAATAGGATGAGGGTTAAGTAGGGGATAGTATGGAAATAGGACCTAAGTTTCAAGTGAGAGATAATGATGGCTTAGAATAGGGTAGTGGCAATGGGTTTGTGAGAAATGGTCAGATTCTATGTATATTTTGAAAGTAGAGCCAATAGAACTTGCTGATAGGTAGGGACAGGATGTGGCATGTGAGAAAGAGGTGACAAGGATGACTGAGGTTTTAGATCTCTGCAACTGGAAAGATGGTGTTGCTCTTAACTGAAGTGGGGAG